AAAAAAAAAAAAAGATGAATCACAACTATAGCCTAGGATAAAGGAGGGAAGGGGTGGGGGATGGGAAGGGAAGGGGATGGTTCGATAGAGGGAGTGTTAATGGTGGGACCGCACCTATGAAGCATATTGCAAGGGTACAAGTCAAATCTATAATGTATTGAACACAAATGTCTTAACACTGTGATTAAGTAAATGAGGTGAAAACTATGTTAATTAGTAGGATGTAAGCACTCCAATTTGTACAGATAATCAACACATTGAATCCCACAAAGGCATAAATGTATTCATGATCTATGTATATATGACTTAATAAAAAAAAAACACAAAACTTGAGACCCCTAACTGCTATGAAGAATTTCCCCATCTTGATGATCTTCTGAGACTAAAATAGTAATAGACTTTGAAGTTGTTGGAGGCAATGTTTGATGGTATGGGCCCACCCTAAGCCCCTCCATCTGTCCTGCTCTGAGGCAGGCAGGCCAGGCACACAAGAGGCTGCCACCTTATACTGTCAGTCTTAGTGATTTCAATTAAATTCTTTCTTTTCTTGCTGGGTTGTAATTAGCATCCACTCTGTGTTAACTTGAATAACTTAGTGTTACTTGTTTTTAGGAGAATTTTACATCAGCACTGTTAACTTTATTTTAATGTTTCTTTTCTTTTCTTTTTAATCTTTTTAGCAGCCTCATGCAATGCTGGAATGTATTTCAATGTTTCTTTAACTTGAAGATTTTAGCAAATAATTTTAAATAATGAGTCTTTGGACTCCTTCACTTATTACTATTTCAAGCCAAAGACCCCTTTCTTCCTGAAACCCATAGAATAGACTCAGATAACAATTATTTTGACCACTCTGCTTTTCATTCTTTCTATCTTCTTCTTCTTCTTCTTATTATTATTTTGGTCCTAAATAAGAAACAGGTCTTATATGCTCAGGGGACAGTTTGAAACTTTGGTTCTACTTCTTGAATTAACTTTCTTTCTTTTTTTTTGAGACAGAGCCTCAAGCTATCCCCCTGGGTAGAGTGCCATGGCTTCACTGCTCATAGCAACCTCCAGCTCCTGGGCTCAAGCGAGTCTCCTGCCTCAGCCTCCCAAGTAGCTGGGACCACAGGCACCTGCCGCAACGCCTGGCTATTTTTTGGTTGCAGCCATTATTGTTGTTTGGCGGGCCTGGGCTGGATTCGAACCCACCACCTTAGGTGTATGTGGCTCGCGCCTTAGCCGCTTGAGCCACAGGCACCGAGCTGGATTAACTTTCTAAAGATAAAAATTGTGGAGAAGTAAAGTTAAAATGAAGCTGTTATAAAGGCAAGTCAGATTTCTGTTCTTGGAGGCTGTGGTTCTGCCTGAGGATAGTCTGTAAGGAAGATTCCCATGGGAGGGATGGGTGCTATTAGCTAGGTCCTTCTGGGAAAGAACCACCAAATGTTTTCCTGTCATTGGCTAAGAGGGAAAGACCATGCCTCCCCCAGGCCCGGGATTGTACGCTTCCCCCAAACAACCTGAGCTTCCTCCAGCTACCCTAGGTGTTCTGGGACTTCTGTGACTCAGTAAATGACTCAGTAAACGACTTTTAAAAAAGTACATTAGACTTTGCTAGGAGTTAAGGTACTGCATAGGTTTTTTCCTTCTAGAGAGTAGGTATGTAGATTTATATATATGTTTGTGTATGATATATACATATATATTTCTTTAAAATACAAGCTACAGAAAAAGCAAATTGATGATGTGGTAAAGTATAGGTTGGGATTTTGTTAGTCACTTACCCTTTTGCTTTGGAAAGAGATTTTGGTTGCCTGTGATGAGTTCCTGTTTCTCTGAGATGCATTCATAAAATCAAAGGCCATGTTTTATTGCTCCTAAAATCCAGACCCCAGCACAGTGATTTGCCCAGAGTACATAGTAGGCTAGAATTCTACTTGCAGACTTTTTTTTTTTTTTAATTTAGTATTTCTTAACCTTATACACAACTCTTTTTGCCCCTAGAGGGATTTAGTTAACTCTTGTCCTCTTGTTATTTTACCTTTGGTAATGTCCTGCTAATTTATTAAAAACCGTTTCCAGTGTAAAACTTGTTTTGGAAATTTAGTCAAGTAATACTAGTGGAAAATGTTAAAATAACTTTTTACATTACTGTTATGTGACTCATTTAAATTTCCTGATCAAAACATTTATCTCCTGAGATTTTAGGTAGGCTTTTGGGGAGATATACAGAAACACAGTAAATGAATACACAGAAGCAGCTATTTGATATAAACTTACATAAATGACAGAAATTTAACCTGGGTTTTATTAATGAACGTTTAAGGATACATAAATAGAAAACGTCTCATTTTTTCCTAAGCTAATATTGCTTATCACCCCAGCTGCGAGCTCTGGAGCATTTCATAAAACCTGATCATATGCTACCATTATATATTTAACCCCCTAAACCACTTTCTTACCAGTAATTTTTAAAAGTTTAATTTTCTTTAACATTCTGTAGTGGAAAAGCCAAAATAACTCAGTCTCGGTGGATTAGATATGTGGCCATCACTTAGAAGAGACCCAGATGCTCAGAGATAGGCAGGGTCAGGACCTGTCTCTTTTTCAGTTTATCTAATGCAGGATTCTGAACAGGACCCCAGCCACACATTCTCTGTGGCACTTCTTAGCCTTTACCAGAGTCACTCTTCAGAGGACACTGTGGTTGACTCAGTTGCTGCTCACCTGTCATCCTGAGCCTGTTCCTCATATCCTTCCTTTTTTTTTTTTT